ATTATTAAGATTCGTAGCGTCCCATTCATGGAGGAAAGCTACAACTGCAGTAGCAATGGCTTCTCCTTTTGAGTCAGGAAGTTTTGGCACTCCTAGAAGTTTTTCAACACCACGCCCTGTTACTAAAACTGACAAACGCTCAACATTTCCACTTCCAGCGATGTCTGCCATTATTTTTCCATCCCAATGAACTACGAGAGGTACAGCCGGTTTGAAATTTTCTTTTGTTTCATTGTATTGAGTTTCACGATAAACCGTTTTTGCCCTATGAAAAGTACTAACAGATATAGAGAACTCTTCAATGGAAGATCCTAAACTTCGCATTGTAGCTGCTATAGTTCGCATTGCCACACGATTGCTTACTTTTCCTCTATCTAAGGAGGCGACAACTTCAGGGGTAATAATTTTTTTTATAGAACGCTTCCTTTTCAGATCGGAGCTTTCTGCAGCATCATCTTTTCCTTTCAAAACTACGATATCATTATGATCGATACTAGCAGAACTTGAAGGCGAAGGTGAATTCTCAAGAACAACTACTTCTTCAGAGCGTTATTTTCTTAACGCTTCTTTTTGCAAACGTTTATCCAAACTTATCTCTCTGCAAACTTTATTTTCTTCTTTCTCTGCATCATCTTTATCAATGGAACCCAAGACCATGTTTCTATCATCTCGTTGATCTATGAGGAAATCGCGATCTTCAGCAATTTTTATTAAATCAAAAACATTAGTTGGAGCAATATCAAAAAGTTTTATAATTCTCTTTTCAAAGTCTGTTACTTTGCTTCTAGCAACAGCTGATTTCTTATTTCTGTCTTTTAATAGATCCGTATATTCTTTATGAGATTTTTCAAGCCTTGAAACTGCATTATCCATTCGAATTGTAGGAATTTTAGCTTTTTCCCAAATTTCACAAGTTGATTTCATAACTGTTACCGAACTTTCATGTTTACTCAATCCTTTCATCTCATGGTGGAAGAAAAAAAATTTTAATACTTCCAAAATCGTTGGAAGCTTAAGATAGGAAAGCATTGAAATTTGGCTTAGTTTGCAATTTATTTTGCCGCTTTAATATGTGCGTAATAAGAGCTTTATTTTCGTTTTTATTTTATTAAAATCGAACGGTAAATAACCGTTATGTGCACAGAAAACGAAGGTCAATATTTTACTGAACTTTTGAAAATTCCAATTTTAGAGGGGTATAAAGATCGCCCCAGCGCGACCTCTAAATATTAACCGATTTGGCTGATTTTTTTGGTACAATGTTTACTTTAATAAATGAACACATTAAGACCTTAAGAATAACAAAAAGTACAAAAAAAAATTTTTTGGTCATTTTTTGATCACCCTAATATATATATATATATATATATATATATATATATATATATATATATATATATATATATATATATATATATATATATATATATATATATATATATATATATATATATATATATATATTTATATATACATTTTTTAAGTGTAATTTATTTCGCCGTTAAAGAATGTTTACATTGCATATACATATATCAAAACTAATGGCAGGAGCAAGAAGAAGGCACATTTTGCCTTATCGCCGAGCCCCACATAAATATAAAAAAAAAAAAAAAACCATACATAAAAAAAACTCTACATAACCGTAACATACAAATGTATATAATATAAATATATAAAATATAGGTAAGAATTAAAACAGAAAGTAACTGAGAAAATTAAGAAATTCGAAATAGCAATAACTAAGAATTGTCGAAATGCTAGCAACCGCTAAAATGTTTTAAAATCATTTAAACAAAAAGTTTTAAATAAGAATAAGATTTCATAATTAACATTATCACAAGATGAATTTTTAACATCATTACTTAAATTTGATTAATATAAATAAATTTGTTTTTATTTGAATAAATTTTATAAGAAACATTTGAAGTCAGATAAATTAAGATCCCTGAATAGTAATAATTGTTTTGATTCATTTTTAAATTGTTTTAATGTAAATATAAATATAATTTTCTTATATCAGTTATATCTTCTCCTCTCTCGTTCTAGTCTTGTTTTTGTTGACAATCTCTGGGAATATTTTCCACAGATAAGGTTCGCGATATTTAATTGAATAGAAGGTTAATTTTAAATTATACTTGAGAAGAACAAAGTTGTTATCAGAAAACTTTGTTGAACATTTATGATAAATTTTATAAAAATAGGTTTGAAAAGTTATTGGGGACAATCCCATTTTTGTTTTAAACATAAACAATAAAACTTGGTGTAAATTGAGTTTATACACATTTAAAGCACCGAGTGCACGTAAAAGTGGTTCGCAAGGAGTATTTCTGCAGGCTCCAAACACTATTCTGCATGCATGTTTTTGTTTGTTGTAGATTTTCTTAAGTTTTGTATAGCCAGTACTAGCCCACACAGTATTGTAGTAAGACAAATAGCTGTGAATAAAGGCAAAATACAATTTTTTGAGGGATGCTTCATTTAGAAAAGGTTTAGCCTTATA